TTTGAAACAGGGGGGGGAGGGGATGATTAACATGTTGGTCCGGATATTCAACTGGATATGGTAACACGAGTACGCGCCGAAGAGATGGAGAGAAGGAGTAGTCGTGAACCTGTTCAAAAAGGGGGATAAAACTGACCCGGGGAATTATAGAGGGATAACCCTGCTGAGCACAGTGGGGAAACTGTTTGGCAAGATGATAGACAATAGAATGGGAGACAAGTTGGAGGGGAAACAAAAGATCAGCGAAGGACAAGCTGGATTTAGACCAGATCGTAGTTGTGTAGACCATGTATATACGTTGAGTAAAATTATCCAAGGTAGGAAAGACGCCGGGAGTACGACATACTGTTTCTTCCTAGATGTACAAAAAGCCTACGACACCGTATGGCGCAATGGATTGTGGAAAAAGATGTGGGACATCGGGATCCGGGGGAAAATGTGGAGGATGTTGAAAAAGATGACAGAATGCACAAGAAGTGCGGTGATGTTGGATGGGGAAATTTCGAAGTACGTGGATTATCCAAGGAGTCGCACAGGGCTGTACGATGTCACCCACTAGACACACATGTCCATGTGGCAAATCGGAGGAGAGTAGACCCCACATAGTTGGGGAGTGTGAGTTGTACAGGAAGGAAAGAGAGGATCTCGAGGAGGAAATGAGACAGAGAGGGTGTGACATGGACAAGTTTGGTAAATTAGACAACAGCGAAAAAACGATCGCGATAATTGGGGATAGATGGTGGGCACAAGAGGCCCTAGAGGACGGGGATAAGATGTGCAAGAAATTTTTATGTAGTTTGTGGCAGAAACGTAAAGAGCTCCCAATTGTTGGTGGTGTCTCTAGTAGGGGTAGGAACGGTGCTCCGTCTCGAAAGGGACGCGTGGTCAATGGTCAAATGACTAAGGCAAGCAACAAATGAGTACGTCCCCCCCCCCCCCCCCATCTCTCTTTCTCTCTCTCTCTCTCTCTCTCTCTCTCCATAAATATCAAAGTATCCAAGTATACCTTCGTTATGGGCGATGCACTCACGATCCCGTTGCTGCCCAAAAGGCAGGGGCCCCCCACGAACACACACAGCAACAAGCATGCTCGTTTTTTCTCACCCCCCCGTTTTCCCGCTTGGCTCGTTGTTGTTGTGCGTCGTGTCTGCGCTTGCAGTTCCAGTGGGTAATCTACGACTGTGAGACGAGGGACGTTCAGCTGCTGGACGAGTTCTCTCCCCGACCCTTCTTCCTCAAGATGTACCTCCCTTACTTCGACATGTTTGCACAAGGTTGGTGGTGGCAATAGTTTTTTTCTTTTTTTTTCTTTTTTTTTCCCTCTTTCTGTTATTATTATATATTTTTTTCCCTGTGTTTTGCCCCTTCAGTCGTCCTGCCTGATGCTGATACAATCGCGCTGCTGTGTGTTTTGTGCAGAGCACCGTGTTGTGTTTGTTTTTGCCGGTCAGCTGGTGCTTTCCGTGCCTTTTGACGAGGCATCTTTTGTCTGACCGCGCGCCCGTTAAACGTGTTCCTCCGGATGTCTGACCCTGTTCACGCCGCAGGCGGGACTTTGCGCTGTACCGTGAGACGCGTGGTACACGGTAATACATACCTAGCTTTACCACCGTGTCACATGCGGCTGTGTTACCTTGCGACATAAATTGCATATGATGTCGTCGTCGTTTGTCCTGACTTGTATATGTGAAGAGCGTGGAAAGGCAATTCCAAAACGTGATTGTCCCGGTTTTACCCCCCCGCAATCCTTTCTGTCTGGTCTCTCGCAAGGCTTTACTCCGTGGGCGCCGGACTCGAAGTCCTTCTCGTACGTATCAGCGGAAGCTTCCTTCGTGCAAGAGGTGTGTACATGTACATTGTGTCGATATATATATCTTGATTTTCGTAGATGCATGTACGTCAAGACGCAGCTGAATTTGCAATGGTAGACAGACAGGAAGGGTCCCGTTATCGTGCATGCACCGCCGCAGCTTTCGCATGTACATATCACCGACGGTTTACCCCCTTACGGACAAGAGAAGACTTTGTAGCAGAATGTGGCGCTGAGGTGGAGGGGAAAAGTGGTGGGGTCGGGATAACAGCAGAACAGGAACCTTGGCTTTGTTTCTCAACGAAATATTTCTTAATTGCCGGCCCGTCCTGCCTAACTACTGTTGCAGGTTCCAGACGACGGGCTAGCTCCGCTGCCTCGGGAGCTGGGGCCTAACATGGAGTTCGTGTCCTGGTCGTTCTGCTGATTTCGAGCTATCTTACTGATTTGAGTTAGCGTCTAAAGGGCTTTTGTGCATACCGTTCTGCTGATTTGAGGTGTAAGGGCTGGGCTTTTTGGTATTGTCAGGCGCTTTGACACGTAAATAGATAAGACTTGGAGGAGACCGTACCGCAGGGCTCCTCACCCGAGCCGAACTTTTGAGTTAAAATAAAACATTACGGCCGCGGGTTGCTGATCGAACGGATTATAATGCCGGCTTGTTGCTTGATTGCTTGCTTCCAGTGGTGTGTTGGATGTTGACCCTTGTCGACTGTGCGATGGGTGAAACCGCTCGCTGATCCGTCCAAGTGTTAGTCGCCTGGGAAGCGTCAAGTCCGTTGCGTGTAAATCAGCTTGAGATTGGACCGATCGATGCAATCGACTATTAGCGAAAGGTTAAGGTTGCGTGTTCGTTTGAAAGGATGTAGGGATCAGGTCAGACGTGTTCGTTCATGCCTCATGCTATACACATGCACGGACGGCTGACATGCCTACCGATGCGCCAACTATACTTCGACACTTGTCGGGGAAACGCTGGGGGAGGTAGGCAGCCTCTCCTGAGCCCTGTTGAATCACCTGTCCTGAACCCTGTTGTTGCAGGAATCACCAGTGTAGTCTCGTTTTGTTTGTCGAATTTTATGTGGATTTTGCGGTATAATTTTTTTTTTCTCTGTTTGTTGCTGACGTTTGCTGTGACTCTTGTTGTGCGGACAGCGGACAGGTTTTGTACGTATCGTAGAGAGAGAGTGGGGATGGAAGAGAGGCGTGATTCTTGTTTGGTGGCCGACCGAAAACACAAAGAGGCGTTCATGTCCCATACATCAGTCGTCGTTGCCTGTTGTTCTGATTGGTCAAGCCCCGCCTCGAGGCCACTCCTTCAAACCCGATGTAGATGCGGGTGGCGGTTCTGTACTTTGTGACCTATCGATGTCACGAAGCAACAAGACGTATCGCGTGCTGGTAAGGTTGAGCGGTCGCGGGGTGTTGCTTTGAACTGCGCTCGCCTCGGCTGACATCCCAGGCAGAATATCGTGATACATCCATTTCCCTTGCTAGTCATCCTGCGCTTCGCTTCCATACTAATACGTACACAGACCGTCGCTCGCTTACCACCAACACCCTCCCCCGCCGAATCCCGAAGAAAGTAGGGCGTGCCGCTACCATTGCTTGCTCCGACCTACCCGATACACCCGAAAAATATCGCCGCCACAGGGGGCTCCGGCAAGCGGTGCCCCCCCCCACCATCCCCTACCACCCAAGCTGCGACACCACTGGTACGACACCACTGGTACTGTAGCGTCTGGTGTGGGTCAAGCGCAAGTCAACAACCAGTCACTTCACGAAAATAAGCATTCAGTATCTACTCGTCGTCTCCCTTCGGCGCTCTTGGCTTAGGCCCGCCTGCTTGCTTCGACATGATGATCTGGTCCACCTGCGGTAAACGAAATTCGATCGGCAAGCAAAACAGAAACGTGCATCGAAGAAGCGCCGTTTCAGCAAACACGGGGGGGGGGCAAGTGGTGTGCGCAGGATACCACCAGTTGATGCGTGCGGCGTCGCTCCTACAGACCGTTTGTTGTGGTCCTCCAGCAACAACCAACACATTAAGGGGTGGATGATGTACACGGGAAGCAACGCACCTTTCACAAAAAACAAGAGCGTTGCCACAAACCAAAAGTTACGAATCAACTATTTTGTTGCGGCTCTCCATCAAACCAAACCAAGAATGCCTGTCGTGCGAAAGTACCACGAAATCACCCGTGCCTTCCACGAAAACAACAGTAAGCGTCGCCACACGAACAAACTACTACACAGAATCACCTACACAACATGCACGCAGCAAGCCAAGGAAGCTACAGTAGCTCCTTTCACGAAAACAACAGCAAGCGTCGCCACTCAAAACTACTACACAGACAGGATCATCAACACAACACGCACGCAGCAAGCCAAGGACCGCATAAAGCTACAACAGCTACCAATCGCTCGCTCACCCTGAGGACCGTCACCGCCGCATCCACCGCCAACCGTAGGGCCGACTCCTTCGTCGACATGAGGTCCACCACACCCTCCCCGGACTTGTCCGCCACGGAGTCATCGTCCACGTCCACGCCCATCTTGGCCTCCCCGTTGGCGTGGGCGGTGCGAAGGGTCGCGAGAACCTTGCATTGCACACGTGGCGTTTTTTTTCGTTTCTTTCAAGTCACAGCATTGTTTTTTGTTAACACTTGTTTCCGCAGCCGCAGCAAAAAAATTTAGGTAAGCATACGGTGAGGCTGGGAGACTGCTGCTGTAGGTCAGGAGAGACGGACACACGCGGGCGATACCCCCTCCCACGCCCCGTTCCTTCACAATGATTCAGATCAAGTCCCTCGAGGAATAAAAACTCTTCGGAAAAGGTTCTCGGAGATACCGTAGATTGCATGGCCACGTGGCCTTCTTCTGAGAGGCAGAGGAACAGTCTTCCATGGTCTGAGAAGCAGATTGATTGCTCGCATTCGTTGCTGAGAGGTAGATGCAACAAACATGTGGACTTGTCTACATAGGCGAGGCAGCCATTGAGAAAAAAACGGATTATCCCACAGCAAATGACGAGACTGCAAGGTTCTCAATCCCACAGGTCGTGCACATGATTAGAAAACATGCACGAACATCTACTATTAATCACAGAAAGACTATCGATCGAGACATAGCCATAGAGGTTGAAGGGGATACGTCGAACTTTTCTGAAAGTATGAGGTTATTAGAAAAAAAGCATGGTGCAAACAATCGTTCGAGACATAATCACAGTCGAATGGGATAGGTTGAAATCTTTACAGTTGCATTTTTTTGGTTGTGTCTTCACATCGAAAACCGTTTCGATCTCTCTAACCCAACACTTGTGAGTGGAAAAAAAAACGGCTGGAATGTTTAAGCTAAAAAATTACCTTCTCTGCGTCCTGCCCAGACGTTTCTGAGAGAATGCGAGGAACCACCTCCAGGGCCTCGGCGAACTTCTTGATGGCGTACTGGTCCAGCCCCGTCTGCATCGAGAACAACAGCAAAACAAACACCCGGCAGAAGCAACGCACACACGGCACGCAAGGGCGTCAGTGAGGTTTCCGTGAGGCGGGTGACAGAGGCTTCTTTCAGTCACAGGACACGGGGGGCTTCACCACAACAGTCATGCAACACCAGAAAATCTAAGCCGGTATACAGGGTGCATACAACTCGTCCCTACACGTGAGTAGAAAGAAGAAAGGTGTCATCGCGTTCTCGGCAAGCAATCAATGCAATCTGTGGCGGAAAAAAAAAAAAAAAACGCTCGACAACCTTCGAGAGGAAACCATCTGGCTATCGCCATCTCGAAAAGGCAGTCTTTCTTTGCTTGTACATACGTATATTAAAAAAAAACATAGCAGGCGCCGAAGCTCTCCGCAAGAGCCGCCGGGGGGAAAAAATTTAGGAGTAGGGCTATAAATAATATTTTTCTTGTCTCTGGCGTCTCGCCTGGGATTCCCCGTGCTTGAAGATCTGGTGCGCCAGCTCCATCTCGGTGGCGCCCCCGCCGGGCACGAACCGGGGGTCCCGGCACAGACCTCGCACACACGCCACGCTGTCGTCCACCGCGCGCTCAAGGTCGTTCAGCAGAGACTGCGTGCTGCGGATGAGACGCGGGCGAGGGGGGGAGGGGGGTACTCATGTAAACGAACGCCCGTAGTCTTTACAGACCATATAGACCTCGCATCCCTATCGGGGTCGGAGCGATTTCGCCGGCCCAAGCTACTACGTTTCAAGCAGCCTTCGTAGGTTTTTTTCGATTTATTAAGTCAACATGTTTGATAAAGCATGCAATCGGGGAAGTTGGGTTTATGGATAGGGTCTGCGTGCCCCCTCCCCGTCCTTTATATTTCTTCAAAAGCTTATTTAACTCTCGTGAAGGCGGTCCTCAGTTTCACAAGGATGAAGCAGTGTCTGGCCATCGTCCTTGCGTTTCCTGTGCCAATCCAGATATGTTTATGTCATGGATTGATTGGGCGACGGAGGGGGTGGTTTTTCACGTCCTCCGGGTGGGTAGACTGAGGACGGGTGGGAAAGAGCCGAGACACATTTGAGAGCGTGATCCCCAAACAAAATAACCATCAGAGCTTGAACAGTTTTGCGGGGATGGGCGCGACGCAATAGAGACAGGTAAACAGAAAGAGACGGCGTACATGCTTGGCCTCCAACGAAGACAGCGTTGACGATGTGGGATTCATTATCACCGTGCTCGCCATACCGTCTCCAATTTCGAAGCCTTACAATACCCTCAAAGAAACTAGACCCTCAACACATGGCACAACAATTAACCTAGACTTGGGCACACCCGTCAACCCAAACGAGAGAGAGAAAAAGAAAAAGAGAGAAAAGAAAGAGAGAGAGAGAAAGAGAGACACTCCCATCTAGGGAGCGAGAGCAGTAAGAGCGAAACTGACCTGGCCCTTAGGACGATCGTGGCGATGCGGGAGTCATCGTCGTCCTGGCTGAACACCGTCACCTTCCGCAGCCCCACCTCCCGCACCTCCACGAGGGCGCAGTCTCCCATCTCGTCGGGCGTCGGGGCCCCCATCCGAACGAGCGCGGTCGCGTGCACTGCGTTGCAGATGCGCCGCAGCTCCCACTTGCTGAGGACCTTGATGACCATCATCTCGTACTTCTCGATGAAGTGCATGCACATGTCGCTCACCTGGGTGGGAGGAGGCGAGGTGAACGCGACATGACGACGTCAACAACGCCACACAATCACAATCACAATCACAATCACAATCACAATCACAATCACAATCACAATCACAATCACAATCACCACCAACGACCACAACAACAACAACAACAACAAGCAAAAAATACAACGACAACGAAGATGATAACGACGACAACGACAACGACACCAACACCAACACCAACAAGGACAACGCCACCAAAAACAAATGAAAAAACAACGACAAAACACCAACAGCAGCAACAAGGACAACGCCACCAAAAACAAACAAAAAAAACAACGAACATGACGATGACGGTAACGACAACGACGACGACAAACTCCGAAGTCAGCCTCTTACCGTGCCCCCCGCCACGATGACCTTGGTTCCGGCGTCCGCGATAGACTTCATCGCGTCCTCCACCACCTTCTCCTCACCCTGTCCGAAGGATAACATAAACAATCGAACGACACGAAAAGACGGAGAGGCGACGCCGCCAAGATTACCGACTTCGATCTCAAAACAGCCGAGGGTGAAAATAAAGGGACAAGGGGTGGGCGCGCACCCAACCCCGGTAATTGCGACAAAAACACGCCTCTCCCGCCGCGAAGCAACGTCGAGAAGACAATTTTTCGTCGAAGAAGAGGTCGACAAACTCTACATGGAACGGCGCACACGACACAAGCACCGCACCTTGTTGAAGGACACGCACCAAGCACAATATTTTCAAAATGGAAAACGGGAAAAGACGGCCAACAACACGCACACGCCACACACCAGCACCTTGCTGTACGTAGGACGTGCACCAAGCAATACCCGCCAAAAAAACGGCCAAAAAGACAGCCAAAAACACCCACACGCCACACACGAACCACACCAGCACCGCACCTTGTTGTAGGACATGAGCTCCTCGCCCGTGCGAATGAGCACGGTGCCCTTCGTCTCTGTGGACGACATCTCCAGCCCGCACGCGAAAACCGCCACCTTCGCATTCTCCGCACGCTTCACCAGACCCTGTGGAGACAGAGAGACAGACAGAGAGACAGACAGAGAGACAGTCAGAGAGACAGACAGAGAGACAGACAGACAGGCAGACAGACAGGCAGACAGACAGAGAGACAGACAGAGAGACAGACAGAGAGACAGACAGACAAGACATCCCGAGTTTTCGTCCGTACGGTTCGCGACTTGGCCTACAAAGTCTCCGGGAGACGAAACGGCCCTCTTTTCAGTCCCTTACAATGGTACGTCCCATCCCATGTCTCGTTTCCTTGGAAGCCCTGTGCCATCTTAGCCTACCCCCAAGTCCCCTTCATCGTAAGTTTGAAAACTGTAAACTGCCCACGGGTTCCGCAGGAGACCGCTCCGAACAGGGCAATACATTCGCACGTCCCCCCCCCTGCTGAATCACGGATGCTGTACTCTTTCGCTCGAGCGAGGTCTTCGAATTCCAGCCAGAACAACATCTCCATTGCAGGGCTGTATTCAAGCAAATTGTACTTCGAAAAAACAGCGTCTACCACACAAAACTGCGCAGAAAAAGAACTATGGCCACAAATCAACTTCTACTGCCTCGTAATCATGAAAACATCGAGGATAGCCTCCCTCGTCGCCCTGTGTAGCAAGCCTGCAGTAGCCTACCCATTAGCAAACATATTGGATAGAGTACGGAATTTCAGCTAAGGTTGGGGATCTAGGTAACCTCTCTACTATTTCACAGACAGATAAAACTCAATCTCTTCGCGTATGAAAAGCCCCCAAACGTACCTGAGAGTCGCGCTGAACAACCATCCCGCGAACTACGTGCGAGTCGGCCGTGCTGCCCCCCAACAGCTTGCACACGCGCACGTTCTCTACCGCCAGCATCGCCTTGGCCGGCGCCGGCGGCATGACCGCCAGGCACGCCTCCGCCACGAACGGCGACAGGGCGTCCTTTTCGGGGCGGCAGGGGGGCAGAGTTGAGAACAACGACAACGACGGAGGTACTCAACACACACCATTGCAAAAAACACATCCGGCTTGCTTGATGACAAGGAGACGGGTGTTGAGGGCCGGGACTCGCCTCTCCACTCTTCCGGCTACTAAATCATGGTATGCCTCAATGATCCCCACCTCTACCACCACCACCACCACCGAAGGTTTGGTTACGGCATGTTGTAGCCTGGACCAGCGAAAACCCGGCATATCGCTCCCGTCCCGGCCGCCGGGTCAATGGTCTACCGACTGCGGTATGCAGTTTACATGAGTACACGCCACCCCCCCCACCGACAAATCTGCGCCGCGCCAAGGGGCTCCGCGCGTCTGATGGGATCGAGGCTGGTCATGGCGAAGAAGGCTCCTGAGATCGGTCCAGCGCACACAACACCCCAAAATGGACTCAAACACACGGAAGCAGTTGTTCTGCTCGGAAACAACTGCACTGATGAAAAAAAATGATAGCGAAGGCCGATGATCATGACAGAGGCTTCCGTCGCGTTTTGTTTCTCCCTTTGATTGTGTGGGTTGAGTCGTCTATAAACACCAGACAGCACTCCACTCGCTAGTCACGCCAGCCAGCCTTACACACCTCAAAGCCGTACTGCTTGGAGCCGATCACGGTCTTAATCGCGAAGGCGAGCTGCTTGGGATCCCTGACGTCGGCGACGGTGTGGCACACAAGGGAGGGAAGGATCTCCTGGGTCTTCATGTACGCGGCGCGGTACCCTTCAAGGATCTCCGCCGTGTGGAGGCCCTCCCTTAGCAGGTCCGCCGCCAGCTTGAGCAGCTCGCCTGCAACGGCACCAACACAAGCGCGATTGTTGTTTTATGGTGGAACCGTTGTTCACAAGTAGAGGGCATTTTGATTTGATGTATTCGTGTAAAAGAGGCACCACACGTGTTTGTGCCGATGGTGCAATCGTTGTTCACTATTAAAGGGCATTTTACTCTACGTTTTCGTAAAAAAATAAAGTCTTGAACCACCACGTTCTTAGTGAGAGCCGCACCTATAGTCCCTCGTTTCAACACCCCTTCGCGCTAAGAATACCACCCGCTTAAACAGAAGTGCAATCGTTGTTCACTAGCGAGGAAGTAAAGCTATGTAGATATACAAGCGTGCGTTAGCCGCACCGCCAAGCCTTGTCGTGGTGTGTGCGAACGTAAATAAATAACAGCGCACGGGTCTTGCGCTCTCCAGTGCTGGTCGAATCTAATTCTCAAAAAAAAAAATACCAACGGAGGGCGGAAGCCCTAACCCTGCCCCATGGTCCCGCCCCCTCTCCTGACGATCGCTCACCCGTCAGGGTGACCACAAGACTGGTGCCGTCGCCGGCCTCCTGCTCCTGCATCTGCGATGCCAATACCACCATCTTCGCCGCCGGGTGCATGACCTCCAGCTCCTGGACGATGGTCGCTCCGTCGCTCGTGACGATGGTCTTGTCCAAGTGGTTCACCACCAGCTTGTTCATGCCTACGCGTCCGTAGGTAAGCATGTACCAAGTGATATTCGCCCGCGGTAACATCAGGAAATTCACAGATACAATACCAGAAAGACTATTCCACCCGTTGGAGATAATGCTATGCCACAATCGAAGGGATGAGCATGTGACTTTTAGGAAGAACCGGTGAAAGGACAGCTTGCGTGACCATGATTACCCTAGCGCTGCTGGTGTTTTCACAAACATTGTTGTGCTGTCGTTGTCGAAGTCAAGTTGCCGACTCCCCCACGCTAGAGTCACACACAACAACGACAGGCAAGATATCTCGTCGTTTGATTAAATAGAACAAAAAAGGCCAGGAATATATTGCAGACCTGGGCCCTATAGAAGCTGATAGCATTTAGACTGGTCCATCCGGTTCGATTTCGGCTTCAATAAATGTTAGAAACGAACCACTTATTCGCTTGATTTTGGCTTCTATACACCAAGGTGCTGTGTGCCGAATCTGCCTCTCGACAAGAACTGCCTGGTCCCACGGACGCCCACAGGGTGACGATGAAAGCACCCTGATGCCAACTATTCCGGATCGATGCGAAGCGCCAAGAATGCACGGTATGGCGCCTTCATCACCAACGACCAGGAGATCTATCCCCATCTGTGTCGCCACCCGCAGGCGTCTTGGAGCGGACAAGCCCCACCCCACCCCATCACCGTTCGAAACAAACGGTTTAACCCCTTCGACTGCTGCGGTCCTGTACTACTTCGAACGGGTACATAAGAAGCCTCTTTTTTGATTGTATGTATACTATACTTTCTAAAACAATAGTCTCAGCCTCTAAGTCTAAGCCGCTCATGTCTCTCTCACCGTTGGGCCCAAGGGATGTCCTAACGATGGCGGCCAGCTCCTTCGCCGCGTTGATGTTCCTCATGATAGCCTCGTCCACACCTTCGTAGGAGTTGTGGCCGTCCTTCAGCATGCCCTGAAGCCCGGAGGCCAGGTTCATGCCCATCGACTTCGCCATCTTGGGAAAGAACGAAGGCAGTCAACAACAACTCCTTACTTGCGTGCTTCCGCTTGCCCTATTTTCCGGCAGTCGGCACGTGCGAAAATGGTGCGCTTCGAAGTCAGAGTCAAGGCAGGCAGATATGTGTATAAGAGGCATGGCGGTGCCAGGAGCTGCACAAAGAAAGCATCGCCCGGTCTCTTGCCGCGCAAGCTGCCAGTTAGGATCACACGGGGTAAAGACAGTTAACGTTTACCACACACAAGAGAAAGAGTAACCAAAACACAGCAATATGTATGAGGAAAGGGCGCTTACAGGACGAAAAACCGACACAGCAATACGGACGGCTATGTACGCCGACGGTGGGAATTGTACAGGGGCAGGCCTGCAGACAGGCATCGACTCTCCTAACGGGGGGCAAGAACAAGGTGATGAACATGGATGATGCCTCCAGAGGTGTGCAAGTATGCAAGTATGCATGTATGGCAGCTCAAATAATCTTCCGTGTCTTTGTTGTTCCCGAACGGGCAGGAGGAACCCGCCCCTGCGTGGTGTACCGCCCAACCACAACAAAAGAGCGATGTGATTGGTAGATCTTACGACATCATTTGCTGCTGTACGAGACAGAAGCAGTATCACCGCCTTGGAATGGGGGTGATAGGCAAGTACCTAGGTAGGTGACGCAATATACCACACACCTCCCGGACTGCGTTTCAGAGCTCGATTGTTCTACACCAGACAGACTGGCGGTGCCGAAAATGGCAGCGTTGGAACCGTGTCGTCGACATATTCCCCCCGAAAGTCATCATTTGATTTTGACATCCTCTTCTTGTTAAAATAGAGTAATAGACTAATCGAGCTTTGAAAATCACTCAAGGGGGTGTGATATCTCGTGTCACCTATCCATACATACGGCAGGCAGTCAGGTGGAAATCTGTGGGGGTAAGTGTAGCACGGCACCTCCTCTTTGTTAGACTCAAACGGAAGAGAGATGTTTGGCGTCCCGTTCTTTTCGATCACGTCAGACGCCCCTCTCGGGTATGGTATTGCTTGCGTTGATCAAGACGGGACAACTCGCTGAACCGATGCCGAAGAGAGAACCAAAGACATCTATCCCCTCTGCGTGGTGGATACAAGCAGATCCTGGCGAAGAACATCTAATACAACAACTTGCAAAAAAGCGAAGGGACAACCAAACAGTCAAGAAGACACCGACCACACACCATAACACACGGAAGCCTGCACTCAAGGCCTACCTCCATCGCACCCATCGGGTGGTGGAGGTTAAGCATCGTTCTCGCAACAGCAGTGCGTCCAATGGTCAGCGCCTCCGCAGCCGACTTTCAAACGCAGTTTGGCGCCGCACAAAGCCAAGTTCAAAACCAGCAGCACTGGTTCTTGCCACCGAACAAACGCAGCTGAGCATCACGCCGCGGGTTGAGACGACGCGCAACACAGCCGTGGGGATTGCATGGATAGATCTACTGCTGTCGTGGGTGTGGGGCTGCCCAGAGCGTGGTGGGTGGTGAGTGCGATACAAGGCAGCGCGAATCCAAAAGCACTACTTGATTGTACCGTCTTTGCTCTCTTCGTGTGGTCTGGCCTGCCCTGTGCGGCCTACTGATTTTCCCCATCATCACACCTGAGTATGACACCTGCGATCACCACTAGCAAGGCTGCGAAGGAACCTTCGTTGTTGATGAGGCGCAGATCGCTGTGCAGAGAGAGAGCTCACGTGTTACGGACGTGCACCGCTCCAGCACGAGGACGACGCCTTTTTGCGGTCGCCTTTTTGGGCCGGGGCTCCGTGAATGAAAGAGTCTCGCTTGTTGATCCCCCTCGAGGTATTTTTTTCCAGTGTTCCTTTTAGGAAGCACCACCACACAAATCTTGTGTGTCAGTGTTGTATGTACCTCTCTTTTGCTGCACAGAGTAGCAGGTGCACTTATCTTGGGCTAGTCTAGGTGCATACGCAGCCCGCCGTTGACTCTGGTTTCACGCGTAGCATAGGTCTTGTAAGTACATACCTTCATATTTGCATGCATCATCAACAAAATATATTTTTTCAAGTGTCCCCCAAAGTATTTTGTTTACAGTAGTAGTGGTAGCACCCTCTCTAGACCGACTTTCATGGCTCGGTACTCCACAACTAAGAGAGTGCGAAAACCGGCCGACAGATCTAAGGAAAGCTCTCGGCGAGATGTCTTCAAAAACCACCCGTTTCCATCGCGGTCGTGCCCTCCTCTCGCTTGTGGAGAAGTCGAGCTACGGAACGAATAAGTCCTTGGTGTGTCCAGGGGGAGCGCGATCACTCGCACAACAAGTAAGTACTTCCGGTCGGCCACGAGGTGTGTGTGAGTGCTACTTCTGAAGAAGATGAGAGAGGGCAGATGACAGCTAAGCACGTATTGCAGCGAAACACAGCAGTAGGACCCCACCCGCGACCTTCACGACTCTTGGTCGGTATCGTAATGTGGATAGGCCTCGAGGAAATGCTTCGGACGAAGGGGTGTTGCCGATGTGCTAACGATGTTGTGCCCTGTTGCAAGAACATGCCTGGGCCCAAACCCCCGCAACGTCACGCAGCCACTACCATGGTCCACACAAGTCTCGCTGTTTGATTGGGTAGATTGATCTGGTTGGTCTCGATTAAGTTACCTCTTGTGTCGGGGCCACACTCCATTCGATCTGCCGAGAGAGAAAAGTGGTGGAATTTGAAGCTTTCGCTCATTGGTGCTTGGCATCACGCCCCGGCTGGCACCCCAGGAACACACGCAGCGCCCCACTCAGCGACGAGAATATTACAGACTGTGAAGTACAAGGCACTCACCCTACACCCTACCCTAGAACGCCACCAAAGGACAAGGGTGCTCTCTATAAGTCGACAAACACACCTCCGTTGGTAAGTGTACTCTCCGAACTACTGCAACTCGCAACCACAGTCCTCTAGAGGTCAGAAATTCTCCACGCTGACAACCAAAAACGACCAAACAAAAACGCAAAAAAACACACACGCACACAGGAGGCGAACGTTTCACAAAAACTCGGCTCGCGACGCAAGCTCGGTCTGCTTGCTGAGCCCAAGCCTGTGCACGCTACCCCCGGAGCCCCCCGCCCCATCCCTCCTCCTCTTCTCCCCCCGCGAGGCCCCGCCGCCGCCGCCGCCGCCGCCGCCACCATCTCCCCCCTTTCCCCTGCCGCCGCCGTCCCCTGGTCGCCGCACCACCCGCTTGCCAACCTTGACAGCCGTTGGCGGGTCCTTGAGGGCGAAGCTACGCGCGACGTGGCCCAGGTGGAGGGAGCGCACCTGGAACACCGCTCGGCTGTCGGGAGCGCGGGCCGCGTAGGCGCGGACGTGGCTCTGGAAGGCCGAGCGCGCGCGGTCCAGGAGGGGCTTGTCGCCCGCCACGAGGAGCTGCAGCCCTTGCTGGAGCTCGTACGCCAGCTGGGGTAAATGGGCGGGGGCGGGGGGGTGAGTGTCATGACGGTGCCAAGCGTTTTCTTGACGTGTGTGTGCGAGAGCGGTGAGAGTGAGGTGGTGCAGCCACTCGATTCGAACACCGTCGCCGGTGTGGCGCAGGGAGGGGGGAAGCGGGGAGGAAAAGGATCAAGAGGATGAGGGCATTCCTGCTCTCTATTCGATCACCGCCCCCGGTCTGGTTAAGACAATCCGAAAACATGACCAAGACAGGACCGAACTCCCGGCCTGGCTGAGCGTCTAGACATGGACTATCTCCGAAAATAGATACATAAGTCAGGCCGGGGGTTCGGTGCCGTCTTGCTTGCGTGTTTGGTACACCTTGAATACACCAGGGGCGGCGGACTAATGGAGAAACAGGAGTGTCCTAATCTGTGCACTACTGTAGTTTCATAAAACGAACGGTACAACGTACGTGCTTATCCCTATCGCCTGTTCACAACAGAAAAAACGAACAACAAAGGGTGTGTTCATCTACTGCACGCCGCATGCCCCCGATCCCCTCCTTACCTGCTCGTCCGCGCGGCGCGCGTCGCGCTTGCCCGCGTCGGCGGCGCAGAGCACCCCCTCCAGCGACAGCGGCTTCGGCCGGAGGCCCCGGGCCTCCAGCACGCCCAGGTACGCCACCTCCCGGGGCAGCAGGAACAGCAGCGAGTGCCCGCGCTCCCCCTTCCTGGCCGTCCTGCCGACGCGGTGCACGTAGTCCGCCGTCTCCGCGGGGGGATCGTACTGCACGATCCAGTCCACCGTCGGGAGGTCCAGCCCCCTGGCCGCCACGTCCGTGCAGATTAGGATGCCGCTCTTGGCGGCCCCGAACGCCCGGTAGGTCGCCTGGCGCTCGTTCTGAGGAACGTTCCCGTGGAGCCGCCTGACGAGGCAGCCCGGTCCGAAGAACTCGCCATCCGGTAGCGGCTTCTTCCCGGCGGTGGCGGCGGTCTTCTTCTTGCCGTTGTCCTCGGCGCTACCGCCGCTACTTCGCCCGGCCTCGTTCGGGGAACCCTCGCCTCCGTCCGGCGATGGGGACGGAGAATCCCCGGGCCACCCCGCCCGGCGGAAGAGGTCGTGGTGGAAGTCGACGGCGTCGCAGGTGGACATGAACACCACCACCTTCTCGGCGGCGCGCGCCCGCAGGAAGGCGCACAGCGCCGGCAGCCTCAGCTTCTGCGTGACGGTCATGTAGTACTGGACCAGCTGCCGCGGGGTGCTGAACTCCTCGGTGTTGGCTGAACCATCCGTCCCCTCAGAGGGCAGGCCGTCGCCGCCGCCGTGCACTTCGTTCCGCCCTGTTTTGGTCTTTGACGACGATGTTCCGCGTTCTCCGGAGATGTGCTTGACCTTGCCGGCCTCGTCCACGGACTCGACAACGTTTGTGTCGGCATCCACACGGATGTGTCTGGGAGAGAGAGAGAGGGGTCTAGTCAGCACCAACGAATAATTTGTATATAGCAGGACCGAACAATCCCTGACAGGCTAATCCCTGACAGACCCAACGGCAACTTTCGTGGGTGGTGCCTTGTCGAACACATCTGCTGTGCAGGATAAGCCAGGACCACCTGGACGACGAGGCTCGCCCGCCCACCGACTCAAACGGGTATGATGCAATGGCAAAGCAAGCACAGATACACCCAGATTTCGCACCACACGACACCAGTTACAACCCCCACCAGCGACATACCAATACCCCTCCCGTACATGGAAACTAAATACCACCACACGTTCGTTCTCCACAGGCGCTTGCATCGCATCAAGTTCTCAGGGCTTGAACGCGGCTGCAGAGCATGCCCGGCGAACACCGAAACCCAACTAAAACAGCCCCGCCGGTATACCCCACCATGCGACACACCGCGTACAGCCCCCCCTACTCCGCATCCAAACTCACTTCGAGAGTAGCGCCGCCGACAGCCGCGACACCCCCTTGTCCAGAGTGGCCGACACCATGACGGTCTGTCTTCGTATAACCTTGGTCGAGGGCACCACCGCCCCCCCCTGAACCCTGGAGCCCCCCGCGGGACCCGACCTCACCGCCCTGGCGCTCTGGTCCAAGAGCTCGACGATCTCCTTGACCTGGCCGGAAAATAAAAAGAAGAGACCGAAAAAAGGTTCAAAAAGCAAAACACCTCATCAACACAAAAAAACGAATGAGGAAAAACATACTCAACACTATGCCGTGGTATCAACAAAAGCCACGGGGGTCGCATCCGTACCCCAAGCAGGAAAAGTGAGGGACTCTAGACATGCAACTCGGTAGTCCGTTGACGGAAAAGGGCAGAACGCGCTTGCGCAGGGCCTATGGGGTACATGAGCTACTGTAGGTGTACCAATAGACAAGAATGTGTTTATTCTAGATACCGCAACAAAATCGAACCTGCAACAACAAAATCGAACCTGCTTCTCAAAGCCCATGTCGAGCAGGCGGTCTGCCTCGTCAAGAATAAGCCATCTCAGAGAGTCCCTACGGAAGCACTTGGTGGTCTTGAGGTGGTCCAGTAGCCTGCCGGGCGTGCACACAAGCACCGTCACCCCCTTCCGCAATCGGGCCTTCTCGCTCTTACGCCGCTCTCCGCCCGAGAGACTGCCTGGAACGAGCCAGATGAAGGGCCGAACCACCCGAGTAAGAACCTATGGAGGCGGTTCGTTTGGGCGTTGGGGGGGGGGGGGAGAGGAAGGTGGGATAGCCGTCACAGGATGAACGACGCTATGCATGATTGAGTTGATGCATGGCCGGGGCATTCGTTTCTGATAACCTGTTGCCATGGAGATTCAGATAGATTTAGTGTTTTGAGCAAAAAAACCACAGCAGTGCCAACACGAAAAAGGTCGAGAACAGGCCCGAAGAAGGGCTCCACCTTAACCTGGGCGTTGCGACAGCTGTCGAAACGGGGGTCACTAGCGGCGTATCGTTCGTACAATTCGTTAGGATATCCAGGTTATCACGTCTCACATTTTTTTTTTTTGTCTTCACTTCAAATCAGCGCTCACAGCAATAGTGCCGTTTACTCCAACCCGTGGTCACACAGAATCGCCCCTCTCTGCCCTCCCCTCCTGCGGTACTTTGCCTTCGATTTTTAATGCGAGAAGAGTTCAGCACTCTCTTCCCTCTGTGTACACACGAACTAGCGCTGTCCACTAGGCCAGAAGCGGAAGCGAGAGAAAAACTCACTTTGCAAGAAAAGCTCGCTTACGCCGGGATTCGAACCCCTGACCTGACCTCTAGAAGGTTTCGAGGATACCAACTAGACCACCGGGGCGACCACATACACCAAAGAGAACAATTATTACAGTATATTGGACAAACAGCGACGCGGGAACATCAAACGTGGCAAAGGTATGGAGCGTAGGCCAAAGTGGTACACACCACACTATGTACCACGAGGTAGATAGGACTGGCTGTTGTAGAGTTGCAGAGGCGGGCGCAGAACAACAGGCATAGCGCGTAAAAAAGAACAAGCCTACGTCAACGCATCTCTGAACTCAAGAGGCCCCCCTCCAATACCTCGAGGATCTGAGAACCCAGCTCCCTCGTGGGCGCCAGCACGATCGCGAGCGTCCCCTTCTCCCGGTCCACCCTCGGCTCAACGGACGCCAAGTCGCACAGCATCGGCAGCAGGTACGCCAGCGTCTTCCCGGACCCGGTCTCCGACTTGATCACCGTGTTGTTCCCGGCGGCGAGCACCGGCACGGCCGCGAGCTGACACACCGTGGGTCCCGCCAGCCCCATGCCCCCGCCCCCAAGGTTGCCCTTGGGCTCCTCCAGGTGGGAGACCATTTTCGGCGGTAGTTTAAGCGCTGCGAAGGTCGCGCCGGGCCCCGCCGCCATGACGTGGGCGCTCCGCGCCGACGCGAGCGGCCTGACGGCCGCCCGGCGCGACAGCTCTCGCGGGCGCGCGTGGTGCTCGGGGAGCGGGACGGTGCCCCCTGCTGCTGCATCGGCGGTAGCAGCGGCGGCGGCGGCGGCGGCGGCGGCGGCGATTCGCGCTCTGTTCTTGCGGGAGGCCAAAGCGACGGTGGCCTCTGCTCCGCTGCTGCCCGCCAATTTCGTTTCGGCCGTCGGCGACTCATCGTCGGCATTGCTTCCGGTTTCCTCCAGCGAGGTTCCGGCGGAAGGCGGCTGCTCGATATCGGCAGGGCCCGCGCTGTCCACGTCCATGGCTTGACGCTGCACAGCGACATCGGTCTTTCCGACAGAGCCAGAAGCACCACCGCCGTCACCCTCCAAAGTCCCCTCCTTGGGTGTATCCCTAGCCTTCTTCTTGCTCTTGCCTCCGTTTTTGATTCTCCTCGACTCCTCGCGGGGACCGCCATCATCGCCGCCGCCGCCGTTCTTTCCCAACAACGCGCCCAGGATTTCCATGGCCTTGGAAGCCTCGCCGTCCATGTCTACCGCTTTCGTCCGCACCGAGTTCGGGTGTACATCGGACGGCAGGCCGCCGTCCTTGTCTTCTTCGACCTCCTTGCCGTGCTCTTCGCCGTCGGCGTCGTGCGCCCCGGGTTTCCACCCGCCGAAGCCGCCGCCGGGCGCGTAGTACGACGTGGAGATTGGCTTGCTCTTCTTCGCCGCGGCAACAACAACGTGGTCGTCGTCGTCGTCGTCCCACCATTTTCCTCCCGACTTCGCCATGGCCGCCGTCGCCTTCGCCACCGCGGCCGCGGTGGCCGCTGCCTTGCGGTTCCTGGCCTCACCCTTGGGATCGTCCTTCTTCTTCCTCTTCTGGCTGCTGTTGGGTGTCGTGGTATTATCGCCGACGGTAAAGTCGATTACGCCGCCCGATGCAACCGGTCCGGCGGTGGTCGCCCCCCCCCCCGCGGCAGGCCGTTTTCGTTTCGTAGCGCGAGCCGAAGAGGAAAGGCCGCCGCTTGGCTTGTCATCCGCGGAGGGCGGCGCAGCCGCCGGGGTCGGCGGCGTCGTGTGTCTTCCGGCCATCTCAAGCACGCGTCGGCGCTCGTTGGAGAGTGGCTCCCTGTCGTTGTGGCCGCCCTCGGTGGTGTTTTTTTTCCCTCTGGGCGAGATTCCCGGCTTGTTTGCTCCAGCGTTGGGACTGGTAGCATTGCTGCTATGTCTCCTAGCACCTGGTGTCGCTGCTGCTGTTGCCTTGCCTGCTCCCTTTGCCCGCTCGGTCCCGCTGCGGCCATGTTGCCCAGGAGAACCACTTGCTACTGCTGGGACGGCTGCCGTCTCGCTGCTTTCCTTCTGGGCGCTGCTGCTTCTGCTGCTGCTGCTGCTGTTGGTGCTATTCACCGCAGATGATTGGGGGCGAGGCTGGCCTTTTCCCTCCGACCCCCCTTTCCCCTGCTGCTGCGTTTGCTTTGCTGTGCTGCCGCTGTCTTTGCTGCTGTTGGTGGTCGTGGTAGGTTGCCGTTTCTTCTTCTTGTCCCAGGCTTTGCCGCTGGCTCGCTTTTTCTTCTTGGGCTGCAGGTCGGCCAAGGGCTCGGACACGAGGTTGAGCTCGAGTCCACCATCGTCGGCCATCCTTATTACGCCCTCCACTCGGTATCCCTGTTCTTGTGTGAGACCTGACCTGTCTGCCTGCGTTGCCCAGCGAGTACCACGGGACTGTGAGCTCAACCGGCGGCGGCGAATAAAAAAATGTGGTGAAAAAAAAACGTCGGGTCATGGGTCATGGCGTGTCTCTCCTCTCTGTGCTCTGTCTCTTGGTCTCTGCCCTCTGCCCTCACCTACACAGACAGCCTCCGAGCCATGGCGGTGGCTGTGTACATAAGCGACAAGTCGGTGGTCGAGTTGGTTCCGTATGCGGCCCGTCGCATAGCGTTCCGCTTGGACGTTGGACCCTTCGCGCTGCTGTACCTGGCAGTGTACTGGGCGATATGGAGTCTGGACACCAAGGGTGGGTGGGGACAGGCAGTTGTGTTGGTGGCTCTCCCGTGCGTGCTGGCGTGCCACCTGCTGGTTTTCCTGTCCACGCAATGGAGCATTCGGTTCATGTGCTTGGTGTCGCAGTGGAGGGTGGCTTCGATCGATTGCGCCGAGGTAGGAGATGTTGCAGATTGACTGAATTATCCTCGGGCTGTATGCTTGCTTTGATTGTCTTGCTTGTGTGAGTTGTATGCATAGCGGACGGCATCACGAAATGGCCAACAACTCATGACTCCGTCGCCTTGCTTGTGTGTGTCCTGGGCACACTTTGCACACGTAACTGGTTGTGTACGGGGCTATGTACTCTCTCGCGAGCGGTGCGCACCAAAGGGCGTGCCCCTCTCTGCGTGCACCAACAGCACGTACAATGCATACTGCCTCAACTACTGTCAAGAAAGAGCGTGAAAAAAAACTCAAGACGTGAAAATAGTAACCTACGGAGGATTGAACCCGCGAGGTGCAAAAAAGGAAGTCCTCGTAGTAGAGTTTTTCCATAGGCTTGAGATTTCGTAGTAACTACGAGGTTGGCTCTTGGGGTCCTGACCCAATTTTAGCTTTCTAAAGTCAATAATGAGAAAAGTTGGTCAAAGGCTAGCAACGGATACAATTAGCACCCGCGTTTAAGACACGTCAATTTGGGTTTGAGGCTCAATTTCTTATTACATGACCACCGTCGAGCATAGGCCATTATTTAATTTCAGTGCAGCATGCACGGCTGGCTGAGGTGTGTCTCTTAACATCTATTTAGTCGCTTTTTCTTATTTGTCGCCAAAATATGAAGCCTTTGTTAATGTTTTTTTTTTTAATCGCGGGCGCTAACTCTAGTGGCGATTCGAATGGGGTCTCGCTTGAGTTTTTCCCGGAATCTTAATCTTCACTGGTGCGTTTCATCAAAGAGAAAATGATGTACAATTGTATTATTGGTCACGTATGCATAGCTAATGGCACCACGAAATGGTCGAAAACTCATGACTCCGTCGCCTTGCTGTTATCTGTGTGTCCTGGGCACACTTTTAGTTGGTTGTTTTCGGGGCTATGCCCTCTCTCGCGAGCGGTGCGCACCAAAGGGCGTGCCCCTCTCTGCGCGCAGCAACAGCGGTCACCTGTATGCGTACCGCCTCAACTGCTGTAATAAAATGAGAGATCTCGAACGGGTAGTCTTTTCTGAGGTTATGTTTACTTTCTAAAAAAAGAGAGAGTAAAAAAACCCCGGAAGATGTGACATGGTGAGTTACCAAGGATTGAACCCGCGAGTTTTGAAAAAGGAACTCCTCGTAGTAGAGGTCAGGCAACAGATGTTCGTGGTAACTGCGAGGTTGGCTCTTGCGACGTATACACAATTTTAGCCTTATAAAGTCAATATTGGGAAATTATTTCAAGAAGCTCGCCGACGCTATCAACTTAGGGGTAGTGTTAACGCAACGGAAAATTCACGTATCTTTTCACGGAACGGTGAAAAGAAGATCCGATTATTTTTCTCTTGTTCTATTCGTGATGGCATCGCGAAAAGTACGTTTCCTTCCCTGAATACACGCTTTGCTCGGCACACAACAGGTTGACATGGTATTGCTCACCATAGAGCAGCGGTGAAAGCGCAATGAGCAGCACCCGACACAGAGGACAACACACTTAGAAAGATCCCGTCCACCCGGCCTGCTGTTTTCAGTTTTCAGCAACAACAGGCGCAGGGCAGAGTGTCGCAACCTGGGTGTTGCTTGCGATTTCTTCAGTTTGCCAGCTCATTTTTCACGGTTGCAACTCCCATCTTTGACCACCACCTGCCCAAAGGTAGACGAGCTCAACAATCATAGGGTGGCAGCCGCGCTGACGGCCAGCATCATATAGATGGCCAATCCGAAATAATTAGCGTGTCGGAGGCCCTGTTGCTCTACTGCTGCGTGGTGCCGTGGATTGATGTTGATGTGTCCGACCAAAAACAGATCATCTCGCCGCATTTTTTCCAACGGCATTTTGGTGAGGTGGCACACATCTCTCACACACCTTGTTGAGTAGCACCCACCAAGCACCCAATACCCACGAAGCAGCACGGCGCCGGGAGATGGTATCATATAGACAGCCGAACCGAAGGAATCAGCGGGTTGGAGGTCTTGGTGCTGCTGCTGTACTCGTTCTACTGTTTCCGTGTTTGCTATGTGTCATTGAAAAAAAATCCCCAGCACCAACAGCAGCAGCTGAAGACGAGAGCACCACGAAATGTCTAGTTTTGGGCCAAGAACGGACTGAACGCCGCTTCTGCCGCTTGTCCATCTCCACAACAGACCTGGACGTGAGTCTGGCAGGTCTTTCTAGCGTTCTCAGTGATGTTACAGCGCCCGCGGTCCGCTTGTCCGATGCTTCTGTCAAAAACACGGATCGGTGAAAGTAGCAAGCCCCAAAAAATCCCGGCTCCTTCTTTCCACGTTTTCGGGGGAAAACGCCTCCATATATGTTCAAGAAAACACGCGTCCGTGGAATATTCCGGGTTTTTTTTTTCGTTAATAATACCCCTTGTGCGTAGATGCGAAACGAACAGGGCCGCTCTTAGTTTTCACGATTTCTTCACTGGCGCCGTGTCAAACAATAAATTGATACGCAATAGACTACACGTTCGGTGATTGGTTGGTTCAAACGAGTCCATGTCCCCGGAACAAACCTCCACCGCCGCTGTGCGCAATTCTTGGCCCAGCATTTTCATCAACAGATTTTGCAACGGTTTTGTAGTGAGCGAGACAACGTAATATATAGCTTCCCCCTTCATCACACACTCCCCTTCGTCCCTGCCCCTCCTCTGCTAGATACGTGGTCCATCGTTCGCGGCTTGTTTTGCCCAAACCGCGGTTGTCTGGATGTATGTAATAGTTCACACTTCGTGTGCCTCGGCCGAACGCACTTAGCGGTGTGTGCTTGGCTCTTCATGTTTCAATGGGCGATAGTTGGAAATTCAATTCCAAGTGTCGTCGTGTCCCGCAGGATCGATTGGGATGGGATTTGGGATCGGATGCAGCGGGCTTGTCTTGGTTACTATAGTATACCGGCCACCGTGTGATGACAGTGATGACAGGTACAACCCACCCCCCCACCATTCGTGAGCCTTGACTGCGTAGAAGAAGCCCAGCTAGCACGAAGTATGGCCGCTCAAAACAGTCCGGTGGGTAATAGTCCTCGCTGTCGCGCCTCCCCCCGGCCCCCTCCCCCGGTGGGCAATTGAACAGTATCAACCGCACCAGCAGACCCATCTCACCCCCCCATATGGTCCCTCCCTTCTGCCGCCCCCCCTCCCCCCTTGACTGATACCTTCATAGAGCGTGCGAGTCGTGCCGGCGAAGCATTGCGGATCGGCGGAACTGGTTCCGCTTCAGCGGAGAAGCGGCGGAACCGGGCCGGTCGGTAGAGGCAGCAGCGACGCCGGGGGGTCTAGCCGGGAAGGGGAGATCGACCCCCTCTTGCTTGGCTCCAACAACACGCTAGAGGTAGCCACCACACATCGTAAAACATTAGACGGAACCCCATTTTGTTCAAATGCAAGCGCAGAATCAATCCTGGGCAACAGTAGTATTATCCATCAATCCAATGCCTGTCTCTTGGTGTGTTAGGTCTTGGGGGCTGGCTGTTCCTCACCCTATCACCTCAACAGCGTTTAGCCCGTTTCAGAACGAAGTAGATTTCGACGCTCACGAAAATTGGTTTCTAAAAATGGCCCGGCTTGTATTTCACCGGAACAATTTTCTGGTGCATTTTTTTTTCTCTCGGGCACATACGTCACTCTACGCGAAAAGCATGGTATTTCCCTTGCTCGAAAAAAATTCGCTGACCGAAACAATCCAACCAAACATCCCGGCCCCGTCAATTTTTTTTGTTCCTCTTCGGGGGGGGGTCCCTGGCAGATCGCCGGGCAGGGTTTCGCCCTCCCAGAGCTCTGGTTCGTGTTCCAGCAGACCAAGTTTGTCTTCACTGACGCCGGCGGCAAGCAGGGCTTCGTGCGCATGGAGTACCCGTCGGAAGGGTCGCTCGAGGCGTACCTGGGGTGCCGGGGCTGGGGGGACGAGGCCGCGCTGGCGGCGGCGGCGGAGCGGTGGGGGCCCAACGTCCTCGACATCCCCATGCCGGCGTTCATGACTCTGTTCGCGGAGCACGCGGTTGCTCCGTTTTTCGTGTTCCAGGTGGGGGGAGAGGTTGGCGAGGAGTAAGGGGTCCCGTAGGGGGAAACAATGCTATAATAGGCATGCTGCGGAGACCTTGACCGGGCTGTTTGCGGAGTCTTGTGCATTTTTTGTACTTGTGCTTTATGATCTGGATGCTATTCTACCATGCGTGACGTTCAGATGCGTGAGCGGGTTCATCAGTGTTTCTCACCTGCACGGTACAGTAGTCATTTTTTGGGCACCGACAAGCCGCGAAATGGTGCAGCGCGAACAATCTACCGCAGAGGAGGGGGGAGGTGAAATCTTGTGCTGTAGAACGTCGCCCTTGAAATCAAGATCATTGGTTGGTCCAACGTTGTTTTTGCGTTGACGCCTACGTACATGCCATCAGTGAGCCCCTGGAGATGACCGGAACGCTCCGACTGCAGGGTGCGACCTTGGTAAATACTCTCG